TAACTAAAATTGAATTATAAATTATATATTATATATCTTTCATTGTATATATAATAATAAAATATATATTTATATATTTTTCAAATATTTAATATATTATAGTAAGAAATTTTTTATCTGTAATTTTTTATATATTAATTAAAAGTTTTAAAATATATTTAATTGTTTATTACTATTTTTAATAAATAATATTTTTTGTTTTTATTCCATTTTTGACCATTATTTTTATCATTATCATTATTATTATCAAATTTTAATTTATTTATATGTTGTGTACTATTATGTATATATTTTTCATGTATTTATGTTTATAAAATTATATAATATAATATAAATAAAGATAAGATTTTAAGAAATAAAAAAATAAATCATAAAAAACAGATAAAAAAATGTTATAATATTTAAATTACAATTAATTAAATAATTATAATTTTTCTCTTAAAACTTTTAATTTTCATGAATGGTTTACAGTAATAAAACTAATAAATTTTTAATAAAGAAAAAAATAAAAAAAAATTTTCATCAAGAAATTCGCCTCGAGATCATTCGAAAAATTTTTGAAAAATCGTCAAAAATCTGAACTTGCAGATACGAAACCACGGAATAATATAAAGGCGAATAAAAGCAAAGATTTCTCGAAGGAACGAGACGATGGTAGAAAGTGGTCAGCCAATGAGCTAAGAATGGTTCTTACCGTCTGGTCCCCGTAGTCCATGGCAGACACCATTGCTGGTAAATCCTGAGCAACAGTGTCGTGACACTTTCTTTTAGTGTCCGTCGATGACGAGTGTGTTCGCAGAAATTTACTTTCGGATGCAAGTGCTGTGTAAATTGAATCGATCTTTAAGAGAAGAGAATTGAAAAAAAGCAATTTTTCGTGAAGAATGATGTCGAAAAAAAATCAATTATTACTGTACGTCGTCGTGTCCATCATTGTTTCAGGTAGGAAAATATAGCTGCTCGTTTCAAAGAGAAATCGAATGAGAGATCAAATCCGTCGAACAATATAAAATTTCTAGCTCCTCCTATAGTGATTTTTCATCATTAAGAGAAATTTTGTGGTTTAAGATCTGTCAATAATCGCTTGATAATAAATTTTTAAGATTGCACGGATATGTGTAAGAAATTTATGTATTTATGAATTGTTCTTGTTTGCCTTGAGCAGGTTTTTGAATTGCAATCAATTTTATAAAAAAGGAATGAACAAGTTTGATTCTATCATATATTGTTGTTTTTATATTTTTCAATTTTTTAAATGTTAAATACAAATTGAAATTTTGATCATTCACATCTCTCATTTTGAAAAATCTTTTAATTACTAAAATAATCGAATCAATCAGTATAGTTGCTCAGATATATTAGAAATGTAATGTCGATGCAATAAAAGAATGACCTTCTGTGGACATTCTCTTAGAATTAATATTTTAGAATTAATAATTTGCAATTTCACAGTAAAAATCTTATAGTATTCTAACAAAAGAAGAGAATTAAATAAGAATAATAATTTTAATATTTAAAGTATGCAATTTAGTAACAAATTCATTGAAAACAAATAATTAAAAATTAATATTAATTTTGGACAAACACAATATATTATTTATAAATTGACATTGTCAATCTTATTAATCGAATTCAAGATTTCTTGACCTTTCGAAAGATTTTATTAATATTTTATTAATAAATTATATATCTAATACAATTTTTAAAATCAAACAAATTGAATAAAATTATTTATATTAACTATACATTCAAGAATAATCATTATATTCTAATAGAAATTCCGTTACTTCTTTATTTAATATATTTGATATTTCAAAATTTTTTAGTCAAAATAGATTAATGTATTTTATAAATAAATAATATAAATAAATATAAATAAAAAAGAAATATATAAATCTATCATAAATAAAAAATTAAAAAGTTATAAAAAAAGTTATAATATAAATAAGATATAAAAAAAAAGGATAATTTAATATTATTATGATAAATAATAAAGATATAATAAAGATATAATATTGATATAATAATGATATGATAATAATAAATCAATAATATAATATATATATATTAATTTAATTTAAAAAATTATTAGACGTTCATTTATTTTTATTTATAAAAATATCTTAACGAAATATAATCAAAAAATAGAATATTTAATGATATTAAATTATAATTATAATTATGATTTTTTAAATTGATTTTCAGAAAATAACTTAAATTTTAGTTATGCATATGAAACATTTGTATGTTAAAAATGATAAAAATTTTTAATTAATATTGAATTTGTTTTAAAGAAAATTCGTAAGAATCTTGTTGAGAGTTCATAAGATGCGCATTGGTATGTAAATATTTTTACGATAAATAAGATTTCCATGAAATGTTAAAAATTTCTTGTATTGTCATGGTGTAAATAAAGTTGACACAGATAAAATTCAAGAAGTCAGAGGAAGCAAAGAACCAACCAACATGCCGACACCAGAGAAGCGCCATTAAATTAGGTTCCCGGTCGGTGATTTCACTGCTGTTTACATAAGTTCAACGTTTACGTATATGGTGTACCGTATATTTGTGACAGTATGGGTGTACCATGGCCGATGGAAATCTTGCACCTGAACGATTTACCACAACGTCATTGCCAGAGCAGTACCTTCACTTTCCACTTAACTGCTAAATCCGATGCTTTTTGGCATCTGTGCACACGTGAAACTCGTTTCTATATGTATATATAACCTGTTCTGAAGATGATTAACTTTTATAAATATGCATGTTCGATTGGTATGGGCAACTTTGTAGAAAAAATTTTAATACTTGTATTGGAAAGACATACGATGCATCGCGACGACAGTCAATATATACTATAATAATATTAATAATATCGAAATATATCGACATAAATCGAAATAAAATAAAATAAATATATTTATCAATGAAATTTTGCATTTAAAAATTAAATAGCTATGATATTTTTTGAATAAATATATTGTGAATTCTTGAAATAAAATATTCCAAGTATAATCGACATTGTTCAGATATATTAATACGAAATGTAACAAAATAAAATCAAAACTTGTTATGTTAAAATTGTTCATGCCTAAATAAACTAACGTGCATTTAATGCTTATATTTATCATAAAATCGTAGATCTAAGATCTTCCTGGAATACTACTTTCTCCTGATAGTTCATCTGCACAAGATTTCAATGTGTTCGAATACGAATCTTCCTTCGTTGAATTAAATGCCTGACCACATGTAATTTCCTCATTCGTTGACTCGATCATAGCTACTTATTTACTTTTTCTTTCACTTTAAATATGTTCAACTTTTCCTTGAATTTTACGATTCGTTTTTTCGATATAAATAATATAAATAATGTAAAATATATGAAAAAATTAAATACAATGAATATCGAAATTTATAATATAATATGAATTATAAGAATTGCATTTAATTTAAATGAGAATTTTAAAAAATTTTTTAATTTTAAAAAATTTTATAAAATAAAAAAATAAACTTTACAATATACTTTGAATAAAAAAAATTTATCATCAAATATATAATTTCGTTTTAAAGATAAGTAGAAGTAGCATTACATTTGATCATATTTTTTTCAATTTGTTTGTAAAATAAAAAACATTTCTATAATTATAGATTTCTAGCACGATTATTGAATACGTCTTCAAGAATGCTGACATAGTAAATGACAATGTTTTTACTAACTAGACGATTAAAAGAAAAGATCAAGACTCGATTCAAAAACTCGATTCAAATTCCACAATTTGCATATTTTATTAGAGAATTTATTTTCTTAAATATAATTTTAGAATAGCGAATGATTAAATAAAATTTAAATTCTTGAAGTCTTATTTATTTAATAAAAAAAAAATTCAAAATTTAATTCTTTTTTATTAAAGAGAAAAATATATTGTGAATGATGCGAAATTTAATAAAATTTTATCGTTAGCAAAAAATAAGTATTTTATATTCAAGACAACTACCTAACATTTATAAGTCAATGTTGGACCTTGATCTTGCTATTGGTCCGTATATATATATCTAACATATATGAATATGCCTAATATTTCAATTTTCATTTTTACAAATACTATTTTATATATTTCTCTTTTTGATTCTTTTTCGGTAATTTATAAGATTTTAATCTTTTTTAATAAAACTATTTGTGTATTTTTTTTTTTAAACACGCATTTTTCCAAGAGAATTTTGTTGTTGCTTAATTTTAATATCTTTTTGAAAATATAAATATAAATATTTATTTTTTGTATTCATAATAATTCTGTGATCATGATTATATTGATCTTTCGAACTAATTTTAACTGTAATACAGAATTTTAAAAAATAAATCATATTAAATGTTTATGAACTTTTATCATATTTATTATGATAATATTATATAAATTTTTAGTTTGTGGACAGAAAAATGCAAAGAAAGATGAAGAAAGAAAAGATGAAGAGTTCAAATGTCCTGAAGGTCAAGGCAATGGTAATTTTGCAGACCCAGCAACATGTAGAAGATTTTATCAGGTGAATATACTTAAATTTAATAATATAATAATAAATATTTAATTATAAAATGATACAAATAATTTTCGATTAAATTTTTATATGTAATTTCAACAGTGCGTTGACGGGTACCCATATCTGAACAGGTGTCCATCAGGATTACATTTTGATGACATTAGTAAATTTTGCACTTTTAAAAATGAAGCTCGTTGTGGACCTATTGCTACAAGTGAATTTTTTTTTTTAATAATCATAAACTGAGTTAACTTTTGTTAATTTTATATTAATGTAAAATTTATTTTTAATACTAGCTCCAGCACCCATCACCGAACCACCAATTGATTTAGCAGAAAAATGTGATCCTGCAAACTGTCAGTTACCTTATTGTTTTTGCTCGAGAGATGGTACAATAATTCC